TCAGACGTGTGCTCTTCCGATCTTTGTGCCAAAGGATTTTTTTCTTATTGCAAAATTAATCGAGATATAAACAATTAAAAATTAGACTACTTTATTTTTCAAAAATTCATAGCTCAGTTAATAATAATGCTAGCTAACTGCTTTTTTTTTCAAATACGCGAAAAATGTTCTAGTTTACGGGAAAAAAATGAAGATTCCAAAAATGTTTTGTTTTCCATTGTTTATTTAACAATAAACTTTTCAACAATTTTTTTAACAATCGGAGAAAGAGTCGAAAAATCTGAAAAAATTTGTTTATATACTTTCAGTTTTCTTACATCTTAGAAAAAAAACTCAAGAACGTGTTTTGCTTCGTTTTTGAAAAAAAATTTTTTTAGTTCTTATGTGGAGAAAATCTGTCGACTCTCAGCGTGCGACTCTTACAAAACAGCCAAACTTACAAAATATCCCTACCATACTGCTAGTATGTTGTTCGCGGCCGCTGTTTTGTATTGACTGGAAAGTTAAAACTTTATAAAATCGACTTTACAATATTTAACTCTCCAAACAATTTTATTATTTATTCCGACGATTTCGACTTCTCACTTGTGTTTTTTTTATTGCAGTCTGCTGTACAGTATCTGATTTTTTGTTATAATTATTATCAAGTATTTTGTTGTATTATAATATCATTATAATACAGCAAAATATAATTACATAATATAATTATAATGCAACAAAATACTTGATAATAATTATAGCGCAAGATTAGGTATTTACTGTACAGCAGACTGTAATAAAAAAAACGCAAGCGAGGAGTCGAAATCGTCGGAATAAATGATAAAATTGTTTGGAGAGTTAAATATTGTAAAGTCGAATTTTATAGAGTTTTAATACAAAACAGCGGCTGCGAACAACACATATATACTAGCAGTATGGTAGGGATATTTTGTAAGTTTGGCTGTTTTGTAAGAGTCGCACGCTGAGAGTCGACAGATTTTCCCCACATCAAGAACTAAAAAAATTTTTTTTTCAAAAACGAGACAAAACACGTTCTTGAGTTTTTTTTCTAAGATGTAAGAAAACTGAAAGTATATAAAAAATATTTTTTCAGATTTTGCGACTCTCTCCCCGATTGTTAAAAAAATTGTTGAAAAGTTTATTGTTAAATAAACAATGGAAAACAAAACATTTTTGGAATCTTCATTTTTTTCCCGTAAACTAGAATAGTTTTCGCGTATTTAAAAAAAAAGCAGTTAGCTAGCATTATTAGTAACTGAGCTATGAATTTTTGAAAAATAAAGTAGTCTAATTATTTTAATTGTTTATATCTCGATTAATTTTGCAATAAGAAAAAATCCTTTGGCACAAAATTCTATCCCCCAAAGTACTACCGTTGTGCAAAATTATTATAAAAAAATTTCTGAGAGATGACTGATCCGCTTCACGTGGAATAGCCCATACATATATAATAGACCAATTTTTGCTGTGGAGGGGGTGAACTGGGACCCAATAAGAGTGAACTGGGCACAATTGGGCACAATTTCCCCCCCGCATTTTGGCTTCCCCTCGCCTAAGTTACGACTTTGTGCTCTGTCCCCTTATATTTCTACGTCCATGATTCCTACATCAAACAACATCTGATCTCTACCTAGAGATCTTTAAGCTGGAAGAGCGATGTTATGTAATATGCTGGCACCGCTGCCATCGCAGATCATTCCGTTCTTCCAGTCCATACTCGAGGCTCACTGTAGAAGGTGCAAAACGTTCCGCAGCAACTAGTTGAAAATAACGATGCAGCGCTTCTACGAAATCATACAATCAGCTTTTATACATATATATATATGTCTCTCCTACTTTATATATCTCTTCGGTTTCTCCTCGTGTAGTTTTAATTCATTAATATGACTTCTTATTATTGTGTCTATATCACATCTCTTTATACGTTTATCACGTAAAGTATAAATTAATTTAAAAAATACAAAGAAGAATACAATATAAATATTGTATCCTTTGTATTTTTTAAAATTAATTTATACTGATTTACGTAGAAGACCAGACACTGAAGTAAATCCTCGCGGCGTACGTTGTCGACAGTATAAATTAATTTAAAAAATACAAAGAAGAATACAATATCAATATTGTATCCTTTATATTTTTTAAAATTAATTTATACTGTCGACGACGTGCGCCGCTAGGATTTATTTCAGTATCTTATCCTTGATAAGAAACATGAAGTAGAAGACCACATCGACAGTAGACCGAAGACCACGAAGACCAACATCGACAGTATAAATTAATTTTAAAAAATACAATGGATACAGTATTTATATTGTATCCTTCTTTGTATTTTTTTAAATTAATTTATATACTGTCGACAACGTACGCTGCGAGGATTTACTTCAGTGTCTGGTCTTCTACTTCATGTTTCTTATCAAGGATAAAAAAATATGAATTATAGAAGATCCGGTATTGGTTAAGACAGCGCAATTTGAAAGTGTTGACGGAAAGGTACATAAATTTGAAGAAAGAGAAGAAGCTGCTCGACGAGGTGCAGAGGGAATTCCACAGTTCGTGTATGTACCGCGCGATGGAGACATCGCCCGGTATCTCCATGTATCACTGACGGGTATGAAAAAACTATCGACAATTTTCCTGAATAGAACCGTCAATGGTTTTTTAATACCCGTCAACCGTAAACGTCCGACGATCTATTATTCCCTTAAAGGTACAGTCACGTAGCTTGCAAATCTAACGCTCTCTTGATAGATATTGTGAAATTGTGAAAGTAAAAGCGGGAAAGCACAAACACCGACGAGATACTATTAAAGACCGTCAATTCTTAGAATAAATATGAATACTTACAACGCTATATATATCATGTATATATTGCCGCAAAATTACAATTTTTGTTCGGCTGTTACCATCTTTATGGATAATTAAACACAGATGGTAACTGTAATGCAGTTTTAAATAAAATTAACTATTAGCAAGTTTAAGTAAATATATGAACATGTTTAAAAAACATTGGTTTAATAATAAATCGTAAAATTAATATCATTATTGGCTTAAATTTTTGCAGTCCCGTTTTCCCATAAGATTGTCGGTCTTTAATAGTATCTCGTCGGTAGCACAAAATATAAAGAAGAAAATAAAATAGAAAATGAAATACGCGCGGAAAACGAAGAACATAGAGAAATTGTTATTTTCTTATTTAGTAAAAAAAAATTTTAATGTAAAATTTTGGCTCGTATTTTAGAATAAATAAAAACTAGAGGATACAAAGGCCAATAAATCGAGCAAAGATGTAATATAATTATATAATTTTATTCGATAAAATTAAAGCAAAACATTTTGACTTTACTCTAGGTCTTCTTCAACTGATAATACAAAATTTCATACTATATTCATATACATTAATCTTAGTCGAAGAAAAGAAACATTAAGTTTAGTGTTCTTCTAACAATAAGATTAGTGTATTTGAATATACTTACTTTTAAATGTTGTGTTAGCAGTTGAAGAGGATCTAATAATAAAGTCGGAACGTTTTGTTTTAATTTTCGAATAAAATTATATAACTTCATCACCAACTTTTTTATTCACACTGCTGGACATACTCTCGATGGTTTGTCTTCCGAGAGGTGGCGATCGAATAAAAATCCGATATTTTTAGTCGGATTTGAACTCGGGTCTTAGGTACCGAAAGCAGATGCACAACTCTCTATGCTACAACCACCACTAGATTTAGAAGAAAGATTTATTGTTAGTAAAGTTGAAACGCTTCGACTTTAATTTTATCGAACAAAATTACAAGTATAATTATATCTTTGCTTGTTTTATTGACCTTTAGTTCCTCCAGTTCTTATTTTTTAAAAATTTATTTTTAAGCATATATTCTATTTCAACGCAATTATTGATACGTAATATAATCATGCGATGCAAAGAGAATTTATGGGATGATAGGACTTTCGTGAAATAAGTGGTATGACTTCGACTTTCCAATACAAATAGATTTTATCGTTGTGCTTCATGAATAATGAATAATGGAACTTACAAGTTTGTATGTTGTTTCTTTAATGATATACACATGTAAGTTATATGTATAAATGATGTGTTCAGGTCTACGACGCACAGAAATTTACGGTCTCGGTAGAATTTGCCTGCACCGCGTATACGTAGCGAGACATAATCGAGCCGAGTGAACTTCGTGGCGAAATTGAAATTGATAATTCGCTTGAAAAGTTCGACCTCTCCTCGACCGTTATCGATCGTATCAGTATGCACCTTCTGTTATCTCTATCCAAGCAAGAATAGTCAAAGAACAGCACACGTTGCATTTTGCATTTGTTGTCAGGGATACACTTTAATTGTTATAAAGTGTCGTACATGACTAGGTAAATTCTAGATGTATATATATATACACGGCTACTGAGTAACATGTATACTTTTATGATTTGTCCCTTAATTGTCGTCTTTATAATACAAATAATTCCTAGATCGTTGTACATTGTTACGTTACCGATCCGCGCTTACGCGAAATTTACTTATATCTCTTCGCTCGCTGCCTTACGACTAAATAAAATATAGATGTATTATAAATACCTGTATTTATATATATATATATATATATATATATATATATTTATACTTTTTTCCCCGTTTATATATATATATATATAGTCTACTTAAGTCGAGTTTGTTCAAGCTTTATTACTCATAGACAATCTGCTTGATATTTACAGAGATTAGATACAAAATTATAAACAGTTCTTAGTACAAAATAATTTTATGACTATAACGATCAAGGTTCGATAGCGTAGAACAGGCATGGGCAACCCACCGTGGCCAGTGGTCAGTTTCGCTGCGATTCTCTTCTTGCTTAGAGAACATTTTCTCTCATGTTAGTCCCAAGAGTTTCGTCTATCGGATAATTTTTTTTAGGAGGGAAATGTCCAAAATCATAGTGCAAAACGTGGCTGTAGCCGAGTGATGTGGCCGTGCGTTGCCCCTACCTAGATAGAAAATACAACTAGATGAGCTCTCCTCCCAGTTTACCCACGATTACCTGTAAATTCCTTGCAATTCCACCATAGAGGTCAACAATAGGGTATATCGAAATTATATATCTCGCTCATGCACGAAAGAAAAAATGCATCCAACGATTGTATATTAATTTCATTGCCACAATCTTTTAATCATAATGATATACCGCTTTGTACGATGCAGTTTAAGTTCATATCCGAAATAACTTCCAAATTAAGCATAACGATCGTATACAGCATATAATGCATAATATTAATTGTGATATTAATGATGCATACATAGCATTATGTAGTCATTCATCATTAATGGAATTATAATATTTGTTTCTGTCCTGAAAACATCGTAATTGAAATTATTTTAATTAGCATATTCGACTGTTACGTATAAAAAATTTATATAATATTTTTCTTCGCGCTAATAAAATTATATTTGTTTTCGAGAATTAAAATTTATGATTAAGAAGAGATTATGTGATCATGTTTCAAAAATTATCACATTTTATAAATTATAAAACGTCAATTCTATTAATTATGATCGTATTTTTAAAAAGTCGCGATTGATACTAAATATATTTTCTAAATTCCGAGGCAAGCGTGATTGTCAATTATACGCATTTAAAATGTATATCGAAGAAATCAGCAATGTGCATAATGTAACTGAATGATAAGGAAGTATAGTCGCAATTAAAATGATAGTCGCAATAGAAATGATGAAATCGAGTTTATCGATACATAGGGCCTTTAAAAAATGAAATTTCATAACGATCTAGCGTGTTCGTACCTCACAATGCTCGAACAAAATATTTTCACTCGTCCCTGATATACTGCAGTTCCGAACATTTACCTCAGTGATGCCATTGACAGAGCTCGAATTGTCCGCAAAGAATATAATTAACCACCATTGGAAAAAGGGCACGCTAGGTAGAAGTAAGTTATCTAGATTATAATAGCGAATCTTTGCATAGAGAAAGGATTATGCTTAGTTTCTTTATGTTTTATCTCATATTATACATATTATCCTATTTCACTAAAATGCTCGACTTCTAATAAATTATGGAACGGCTGCATTCTGAATTTATATGGTGAAGCTGCGTTAGATCCTAACATAGGATCCGTGCCATCATTCCGTTCATCATTATTCATAATTATTCTGCGTTTCAAATTTTTATTAAGAGAATTAATTATAATAATATTTCACCTAAACACTACGATTTATAATAAAAACAAAGTAATTTGGAATAATCCTTTCGCCATGAAGATTTCCAAATTGGTAGGTACAGGTAGATACGTAGAAATATACTAAATTATCACATGAGTAGACAAGTAAGTTACTCGTTAGCAGTAAAGGGCAACAATATAGCCAAAGGCAGCGTTATGCTTATATTGGCGAATCTAAACGCAACTACAATTCATTCTCTGTTTATCATCTAGAAATACAATGGCAGTCTGCTTCGGACTAAAAGTGTATACCGACGATAGGTAGTGTTATTATTGTTTCAACTCAGTCACAACCGGTGCGTAAAAATCGATCGGCCAAAAATTTTCGCGACAGCACGAAATTATTATATGTCTATTGGATCCGATACTCTTATGCAAAATGTAAATTAGACTTAGCGCTCTTACGACTTAATCGATTGGCTATTAACTATTTACCTCTGGCAAGATCAAAAATTGGTATTGCCTAATTCTATTACCTCGTAAATTTATTTACGCGATTCGTATTAGCCGCGGATTCTCCTCTTCCACTCGCTTTAGACGATCTCGCTGATATAGAAGCAATTCCAGTTACGTTTAAATTCAACGCGTATATTTTAACTACATATGGCTATGCCTCCGTACCATCGCTACTCCTTATGCGGTATTATTATATGTTAATTTATATAAATAGTATTTTAATGATATAACGGTAACATCGTCTATCCGCTAAATATCGCATAAGTTATAATAGTGTCCATCTGGTATATAAATACACGGAACTTAAAGCGATCGAAATATATTATCGGACTCGAGTACTCGGTGAAGACGCGCAACAGACGGGCGTATAGGCCCATTAATTTCAAAGTGTTTGAAAGCGATTACGACTCACTTTCCATTCTCCGCGCGCGTTTTCTCTCTCTCTTTCTCTTTTTTTTAAATTTTATAAGAAAGTACGGTTCCGATATGTCAAACTTTCGCCAACTTATTACCACTCGCTACGGATAGTATAACTTACCGGAAGCTAAACAATTGCCATAACGTTTTCACATTAATACCAAATTACGAAGCGAGCGTGTAACGCTATCTCGGAGACAATTCGATTTTTTCACCGACCGCCAACTCTTGAAAAAATGTAATGACAACGCTCCTTACTATGTACGCCTATATATACAATATTCTAATTTCATTGATCCCGCCTATCATATAAAGTTACAATTATGATGTGTCATAGTCATGATACGTAGTCTATTACCATCTTCCAATGCAGAATAGGTAAAACGTTACCTCTTTTCTACGCTTACGCTTACGACGTATGATATCGTCTAGTTTATGACAACAAATCCCATTCACGTTAAACTGTGATTGCGGTACTTACATCGTTCGAATAAACATGCACTATCGAGAAATCCTTACAGTCACTTGACTCTGCTTTCTGAAGCTATTTCAGCATTCTCACGTGTATTACGTTTCCACACGGATTTCTATTCAGATACGAACCAAAGGTATAATATTGTTAAAAAGGTCGTTTTTAATTTTCTCACTATCAGATAATTTCGTCATCGATGCGTCATTGCAGCATGATAATTATCTCGCCGTATTTCGCGATATGCCTTATGACGATAAAGAATTTCGCGATATAAATCACATGTAGATTCGCCTCACAAATATAGGCCCAGAGAGATCTGGACAATACAATAATATACGTTGAAAGAGAGTAAAGGGGAGAGCGATAAAGAGAAAAGGGGAAAAGGATGGGGGAAATAGGCACCCACACGTTCATAAAATACACTCAGTTAATAAATGCTTTACGATGCTTCAACTCGAACAATTGTCGTAGCGTTTAATATCGTAGCTGCTTATATTGCCGTACGTCGATGTGATTCACACACATTTTCTCATCGAACCCTTAATCAAAATGATATAATCCCGAGGGAATCCCTAATTATTCTGCTTAAGTAACGCTTCTTCTCCTGTTTGCGTAATTGCCTAATTGCGCAAAATAGGTACCCATCCGTGCAAGGAATGTTCACAGCATGTATTACAGTTACATGGTATTGCTCCTAAGTTCCCGACGATTGCGAGAGGTGTTCCCCTCCTCGGTGCTTCGCTGTCTCACAAACGTCGAATCTCCCTCGAACCGTCTAGCCACGGAGATTCTTCGCCGCCTTTAGCGGCTTTATCTACGACGGGGCGAGTTTTTATTCCGCTCTCGTCCGCGATTGTCGTGTTTCACAAATATTCCCGTCCGTTCTTACCCTTTCTTACGTCTTTCGAAAAAGAGTCCTATGTTTATCTCGATACGGATCCTCGCGCGATACTCTAACGTGAATACTCGCGTCGAGATCCGATACCGCGTGTACCTCGTGCCCTAAATCGATTAGATATGCTCGAACAGTCTCGCTATTGAGAATTCTACGGAGATCAGTTGTATTCGCGGCACGCGATACCTCGGACTGTTCGCACGACACAAATCCCAGTATCGTAAGATTCTCGAAGATTCGATCCGCACTTAACTCCTCTACCTACTCTTATAACTTTACTTCCTGTCCGCTAATACTCGTTGTCCGAAAAAAAAGATATAAGTATGACTCGAGACGAAATTGAAGGACGATCGATTCCCGTCGATAAACTCCATCAAGTTTCCAAAGCTCTCGTTTCGTTGACGGACAGTAAAATTCCATTGTTGTACTTATCATTTCGATGTCGCGATACGTAATTGTCCTCCCGTCGTCGTATCTCTCGCCTTCTCTTCTCAACAGCCGCTCGTTCCTCCCTTCTCGATCGTTATTCGCTCGTCCTTGCAGTACCTCGGATGCGAACGTTGACCGTCATTGCGCGCTCGTCGTTCCGTTTCAGAAACGAGCTTGCTCCGATTCGCTCGGTATGACTATTAAGAATAACGTCGCGCTCGCCGAAATTCGGGGCTCAATATCAGGATGTTGGAGCGTATCCAAGATTTTTCCGCTGCAGAAAGAGCGATATCTCACGGAAAGTCGGTCTCTCGGTCTCCTCCCGTTGCCAGCACTCGAGCATCAGATCGTAGATGTCCTTGGAGGAGGCGGTGGGCCGAGGCAGGTAATCGAAGCCGTTTCTGGAATCCTCCTTGCAACTATCTTCGGGATTGGCGCTGCCGCAGTCGGCGGCGTGATGCAGTTGCCGCAGGCTCTGCACCACTTCCTCGTCGGACAGATGGTCATAGGGCACACGTCTGCCGAGATTCAAAATCTCCCAGAGGGTGACTGCGAAAGCCCATACGTCGCTCTTGGTCGTGTACTTTCCCTGGAAATCGGAATTTAACGTACGTTACTCGCGAGCATTTCGACGCTATATGACTGCACAGTGGGTACGAGACCCTCTTCTTCGGATAAGGTAATCGAGCTCACAGCTTACCAAAAATATCGATTCCCAGGCCATCCATCGCACCGGCAACGGCATAGTTCCGTCGAGCTTGAAGTAATCACAGGCGTACAGCTCATTGTCCGTGCCAAAGTCCGAGATTTTGATATGATAAGCCTTACCGACCAGGCAGTTTCTACAAGCAGAATTACAACATATGGAAAAAGATGAAATTATTATTGTATTTTATCTTTTATCATGTCGAGGAGGGCAAATCCGCATCATTTTACATTTATTTTCGCGTGCTACTCGATATAATAATCTCCACTGAATCGTTGATTTCAATACCCGTCCGATCCGATCGGAATATAACGACTCAGACTTTAGGATAGTCTGAATATTTCTAGAATCTGCGAACAGAGAACGAGTTTCGTCGCAATTCGCACGCGCTATCGGACCGGATCGAATACTTTTCCGAGCGGCTCGTCTGAAACGAAAGAGACGCAGGCAGATTGATCTCTCTCGCCGGTACGTGGAGTGCATAGCGCGCCCGCCAATCTGCATACGCGCGCGCATTCTGTGCATGGCAGTCAACCGGAAGCGAGAATGGTTGTCTGCATGTAACATTTGCTCGCGTATGTGGTCCAGCTGCATTTCCTGCCCAAATACACGCGGGTATAATGCAATTATATTCGATGCGTGAATAAACTTTCTCCGGCAACGGATTATCGCACGGCAATCATCGTAAATCATTTCCTCTGAGAGAAAGGCTTGGATATCAAGAGTTCATCGGTTTGTGACAGTATATCCGCGGAGATATAGTAGTAGTTATATTACATGTAATAATCTTAATATATGGATGTAGTTACTTAATCTCTCTTATCGCGAACGCGTCTGATATTTCATCTCGTTTGTCCTTTGAGCGGGAGTTCCACTGGAGATACTACTACGTTCGAGCATTTCCCTGAGGAGAACTTAGAGATGGATAAGCATTCATGCAACTTCCGCTCAAAGCTCCAGACATTGACCAGTTCGCTTTAAAGACGAACTAATCTTCGGTATCCGAGAGACGGCGACCAGCCAAACGTTATCACGAGTAGCCATGGGTATGGAAATAGATAGAATCAATTAATTTCACCGCCGGAACAAAGCTCCAATTTGGCGGCAGAACCTGGTTAATTAGGGGCGCTTTATCGATCATTGCTATTGGCTACTTCGCCATCGAGGCTACTGCGTCGATGGGGCTGACCCTGGTCCTCCCCATATTGTAGAGTACGACAGTAATGCAATAAGCCGCGTTCACGCCTCGCATTGAAGCTGTTGCAGTATAAATCAGGTGTGATGATCTCCGCTCCACAATCTGATGATTAGAACTTTAATCTCTCGCATTTAAATCAAAAATAATAAATCGCGATGACGAAGATCCAAAATCTGTGTGAAATTTATGTCTCATAAAATTTTAATTGCGTAATATCCGGATATCAGATATAGCAGTGCTTATTACTAATATATTATTTGTAATAGTAATTTTAGTATTCTATTATATTATTATATTATTAATGCATTATTATATTCATGATATTGTGATATTAATTTCACATGATTTTGTGTGATTATTTTAAATATCTTGTAAACGGATTTAAAAACATTAGTAGATAATTCATTAATGTAAATACATAGAGATATTGAGAACGTATATATCACTTAAATACATATTAATATATTGAAAAATATTATGCAAGTCAAACTCATTAATTTTTGTTATTTTTTAATAACTCGTGAGATTATGAAAGCAATTACTCAGAACTTATCTTCGTTGATTAAAATAATAATAAGATACAATATTGTTTCTCATCTTATCCATTATTTATCTTCTATTTTATGTTGTAAAACAAAATTTAATTTAATCTCAATTTTGTGTTATATAAAACAAAATTTAATCTAAAATTATATACGAGGAACGAGAATATTGGCGATATTATGTTGCACTCGTTATGAGAATGTAAAGAAGAATGATGAAAAGAAAAAAATGGCCCCAAATCAGACTATACATCAGAGTAGTGACGAAAGGCCTCCTTCGCGTTTGTAATCGAAATCGGAACAAAGGCAGGCTTTCTTGGCAGAAAGTGGAATGTCTACATTCAGCTCGCGACGACTTCTTCGGTGGATAAAGAGAATCACCTCTGTCATTGTGCAAGTTGCAAGTCGAAGTTAAACTCGGAATCACTTGGCCATTTGACACAAGCACGGGCGCTATTGTCAATAGGAATAGAAACGTTAAGTGTACTTGGCTGATTGACGCGGTTGTATAATTGAAGTCGGAGGTTCCGAGCGTATCAACATTGAAGTCGGACGTTCGCCCCCCCCCCCCCCCCCAAGTTAGATTGAAAGTTGAATATTGGATATATGCGTTGGAAAAGGAACAAATGAATCATCCGGGGAAGGTTCCTCAGACCTCAGGCGGAAGGAAGTGAGCATGGAAGAAAAATCGTCCTCTTTGAATTTTTAACCGCGGTTGGTTCGAACACGTAAGCTCTCGTCAGCGGAGAATAAAATTCTTGCATACGGTATTCTTCAGAATATTCACGAGGGTGGATAAGGAGAATCGTGGCCTCCTCTGTCGCACGAAGTTGCATTCTAAATCCAATGTTGGAATCAGCGAGGCCGAGCAACTGTATTACGAGTTAAACGCGCAACACTTTGATATTAAAGTTTGCCTATACTTGCCGCAAAGAAAAGCGCAGGGTTTTGCTGCAAGAGAGAATAAGATATGAACGAAAGTATTTTTTCGGATCTCTTTTAGCAAATATTTTAATACATTTTCCTTCTACGGAAGAGCGTAATAATGTTCCTACTGCATTTTTGCTCAAATTGAAGTTAGAAATTGTAAAACTACGTGATATATATTGTGAGAATCAAACAGTGGAAAAAATATTAGACATAATATTGAGTACTATCTACACTTGTTGCCAGAAGGGAAAACGAAAGAAAACTCGTCCGGTGCATTTGCGATTCAAAATAGGATGAAGGAAATCTCTTTTACCGGAATGCGAAATACCCACATGCGGGAATACAGAATACAGGCTTTTGCTATTCCTGCTCCTTTAGACGTACGTTTATTCGTATACGTATAGCGCGTCCAATACTATCGCCAATCTCCGATGTCGCACATTAGCAGAATAACATTATCAGCGTTATTGGCGAGTTATACTGTAACGTGAGATTTTGTACCTTCGTATACAATACCCGATCTTTATATATATATATATATATCTTTTTCCAGTTGGACAAATACTCTCGCACCGCGCGAATCCACTATCCTTTCCATCTTTAAAGCATTATATAAAGCTATCGATCTTTTCATTCGTCGGTATTCTTTTTCCATTCGAGCCAATTGAATTGCATTACCGTTTGATCAGCAATCGATCCCTTCCTTCTTTTTCACTTGGCTTGGCTCCGACAATGACTCTATAGCTATATACCGCGCGCTCGCGAATGAAATAAGAGGCTGCGATGGATTGGCAGTTTGTCTCGAGCCGAGGAGGAGTCGGTAGAACATCCTCGGTGCCCGACCAACCGGTTCCGATAACGTTTAAACTCTATACAGCGCGGAATCCTTCGCCGGGTTCGATTTAAATGAATAAAAATGTTTCGCTCCTCGCGCTTTCTCGTTTTATCGCGATAGATAAATCGCGCGCAAAGGTCGTCCGATAGGAAGGGCAAAAATGCATTTCGAAAGTATCGCGTGCGCGCGCCATTGATACCCCGCAATGTCCATTTCTCTTTTGACGCCGCCAGTCACGAAGAATTTATGCCCCACGGTGGAATTCCCATACGGTCGCGTATTTCACTGAATATCGTCGGTTCGTCACGCTGACGTGTGCCATCAAAGTGGAAGTTCAGCGGCGGTGCCATTAAATTCTGATTAAATTTTGATTAAATCCCGGCGCCTATACAAAAGGCATCGATCTATTTGCAACGCGATCGCATCGGCTTTTTTTTCCTCACAAAAGCGTACAGAGAAGGATAACGCGCCGCGGTTTTGATGCGAGTGTCGCTAAAATTTTATAAAGCTCCGTGCGCGCGGCTTGTTAAAAATTTAACCAAAGGATTATGGCTGCTGCAATCGCAGACGCGAACATTCCACTCCCTCGAATGTTCTTGAAAATATTTTGAAATTTCCAACACCATTAGCTTCGTCATGAATATGTGAGCAGCGCGTAAATTAGATATCGTTTCGAAACGGCAGCGAGTACTTTTCGTAATTATCGTATAATCTAAAATTTAATATCTTATTATTATCATAAATTAAAAATGACAACGCCGAATCTGCATCTAGGTATTTCGAATTACTTATACATAATATATTTCCGTTGATCTCAATTCTAAATATTGATTTAATATGACGATGAAGTACGTGAGACAGGAATGAACGCAGAAGTAGTTCTGACGATACTTCTGAACGATATTTCTGCAATCGACGGGTCGAACCGTGTCAAAAGCCCTCAGGAATGCTGACAGGGCTGATATCGTCATGGAAGCTTCGCAGCAAGTGTCTCCTCGCTATACATTAAGATTTACGAGCGAGCGTTTGAGAGACACTGTCCAGCCGGAAACTAGGTCCCACGTGCTATGAGAGCTCGGCGGTTTGCAGCGAATGTGCGCCCGCGTGTGTGCGGAAGATATATACATATATGCACATATGTGCATCTAAACGTCCTATCGATTCGGCGAGATGGCCATTGCATTTCAATAACAGCCACCGTAGATGGACTTCGTTCCATATACGAGATGTACTTTGTATTCGTAGATCGATGATTACCGATACCGGTCGCTGTATACGTTACGTATATGGCATGAAGAAGATCATCATGAGGATTTATCTCCAATATTTGCAGATTAGATGCGTGTAATTATGCGCAATATTAGAAGTGAAGGAAATTCCAAATGGGGGCTCGTTTGAAAGCGTGTGAAGCTTGAAAAAGATGTGCACGACGACGCGAAATGTCACGACAGAATAATTAACTAATGAATTACGGAATTTGTAATATCAATTTAAAAATTTCAATATGGGATAAATCGATGTGCGGCGCACATCTCATGCTAACGCAGTATTTTCATTAATTTTACGGGCGCCTGCGCGTTATCTGTGGTCGATGGAAAATTCAAGCAGAATAATTGGCAAGTTTCGGCATTAAAATTTCATTACTATAGCACAGACTTGTTAAATTTTAACTTCTGTACTCCCAGTTAAAGACGCGCGTTGGATCGAAATATATAAAAAATGCATGCGCTCTTTTTTTAGACAACATTCGGCCCTTTCCCGACAATCTCTCGATTTATACTTAATGCGTACGAGGCGGAGATCCTTTTAGTGCTTGAAAGGAAAATCGACCGCAAACGTGACAAATATTATAGGCCATTATGTTGGATTGAGGAAGGTGGCTATTGTGTGCTCGAAGTCGTGCGCACTTTGGGGGTTGCTATATACTGTGCGAAAAACCCCGCGGAGGAATCAGTCCGCGAGCAGTCTGCGAGGGACGCAATATTAGAAGCTGATCCAGACGGTCGTGACGATCGAACGCGATTGGATAGAAAGAAAGTAAAACGTCGAGTTGAAATTTTCTACACCGAGGTCACACTACCATTCACAAACTAGCGCTGCCTGCACTCTTCTCTCGCCGCATTCCTCGCGACGATTCACTAACAAATCGTTGATTTCCCATGCGGTTCTCGGCTCCGTTTGTTTTGGGGCTTATGGAAATGCACTGCGGGGGTTGGTATAATTCAATTTCATCCTGCGAGTGTAACAGAGGGATGGGGGAAGGGGGAATCGATATCGGTGCCCCCGTCCCGTTTTAACGGGCTCTCTCTCTCTCTCTCTCTCTCTCTCTCTTTCTCGACATGGTAAAATCCTCCCTCTATACGTATACGTACACGTTTCCGAGTACAACCACACACATCGCGAGAACATTTCTGTTAGTTATTAGACTGTGCCAATTAAAGCGGACGGCACAATCTCAAACAGGATCGTCGAGGGGGCACGTCCGTCGAAAGATAATCTCGATTCGCGACGATTTAAAGTCGATAGCACGGACCGGAGTCTTGTTAGCCCGATGAAGCGGAAAGCGAGACGGGGGGAGGAAAAATACGCCCGGGAGGGGCGTATGAGTGAATTTACGTCGGGAGATAAATCAAGAGCGCAACGCAGATCCATTTATCCCTTCCGCAATAACGTACGTAAAAACCATGCCGCGACATTCACGCCGCGCCATACCTCTTCCGTGCGTTTGGTGCTCGACCGACTTTTGAAATTACTTTTTAATAAAAATCGCGCGCGGCGGAATGTGTGTATCGTGTTTTTCAATCGGTTTCCTCCCCCCCCCTCCCGCGACAGGGATCACCCCCGGCTCTGTGTTAGGAATTATAAATCCCTCGCTGCATACTCGTATTGTTGCCGCCGCACGTTGTAATTTTCCTCGCGTCACGTCGACCGAGAAGATTCCCTTGTAATCTTACATCTCCTCGACACGCATCGATGCATTCGCGCGAGGAAGAGAGCTTCGTATATTCACGCCTGTATTCAAATCTCTTGATTCATTCTCCAATTTCGTTTAATTTAAGAATCGCATACGGAATATAACGCGGGATCTTTAGAAATACACTACCGTCTGTCGAATATGTGATAAAAAGATGTATATACGCGATATATATACAGTCATCTTGAGCTTTAAAATTGCACGATAGAGAATTAATAACGCGCGATCGTTTGTCTCGTATTGCTTAATGTATAAATCGCGTACTGTGCAAACTGAGGACGAGAATCGTGTTGGGAGTGTTTAGATACAGAGTGAATACCGGTCGTGGACGATAAAGCCTCTCGCCCGTATATGTATAGGTAAGTTTATTCTCGAGAGATGAAAGCGAATCCGCGGGAGATTCGTTTCGGCAAAGTCCCATTGTACTCACCTAGTAGCCAGATCCCGATGAACGAAGTTCAGGTTCTCCAGATACCGCATGCCCGACGCGATCTGCGCCGCCATGTAGATGAGACAGTTGAAACTGAAACGACGACGATGTGGCGTGAGTTTCCCCGCGACGAAGTTAAGGTATTCGCACTCGAATATGCCCAACCGCCACCGTCGCCTCAGAGGTATTCCTCCGAGGTGTAGGTCGACGAGAATCGGAGAGGAGGGGGGGGAGGAGGAAGGACTGCGCCAGGGCTGTGCGTCGCTCACGATTAATAAACGCGTCAAACTCTCGCGCGGGGGAGAAACTTATTGCGTGTTAACTTCAACGACGGCAGTTCGCTGAAAATGAAACCGAGCTCCGGTTCGTTAGAGACGATTGCGGCACTTCGGGAGCCGTAATCTTGAATACTTTAAGCCCGGTAACAACAGCGCGTTGCCATATGCCGGCGTATAGTCGTATACATATACATCAATATAATAATAATAATTCATATTTCGGCATTAACACTACAATAGATGAGCTATCGAGTATCAGATCAATAAAGAATCAGAATTTCTTTTCGGACTTGTAGGGCTAGACTAGATAATACGATTAATTTTTTCTAAGAAAAATCGTAATTTTCGTGATATACGATGGTCTTCAATCTCAACTACTCGGTATTGGAAAATATGAATTTCTCTGATGTTACATTTTTAAGCGAACGTGTCGGCGAAAACAGTTAAGCTAGCTTTACGTCCTTTACAATATTTGACATCGTCGTTTTCTCAATATCAAAATTATTGAAAGCAATTGATGTCAGTCGATTTCAACATTCCTGTATCTTTCACGGAACTTCAAGAGATTATTAGCAGTTTCAACGTGCAAAATTAAAAAGTCGATACTGCGACTTAACGTGTTAAAGGAACGTATACTTATCTATACTGTGCGGTACTTATCGGCGGGCACACATTCCCGGTCTTTTTATTGGTGCTACAAGGAAATCCGGAATGTGCAAATTGGAATTTATAATACCTATCGTGCTAAAGATGCGATCGTAGATTTTTTAAGCGCTTTGATGCAAGATAACGAACGGATTAATAGCTGCGTTTTCAGAAAATGTCTCATATAACGATCGAAAATTTTCGTATCGTGTTAGCCAAGTATATATGTAGACTTGGTCTTGGTATACATATATATGTATATGTATATATATTTTTTTTGTAAATGTATATGTATATATTTTTTTTGTAAAAAATATAAATGTAAATGTGTGTTACAAAACGAGCTATTGCTTTCAAACTCACACAGATGTATGTGCTCCATGACTTTTTGGCAATTTTATTCACGAAAGGTACTCCAATTTGATATTTTTTGAAGATACTGCGTTGCTTTTATTTGGGAACGTTCAATTTCCGCGGCGACTGTTACATGAAACATCCTGCACGCATGCCATTTTTTTTCGGACAGTAAATGTTTTAATAAACACTGCTCTTTCACTATATCAATAAAATAACAAGTCAGCAAAAAAATAATTAAAGGCGATACATTAAATTGTATTCTAGTAGTGAAATAAAAAATTTAGAAATTTAATAATTAACACGCAAATTCGAGAGTAATTTGCTTTAAATTAGAAAAAAATTTACGATTAATAATGGGCGTTAATGTTAATGAATAATTTTAAGAGAAATTAGTCGTATTTAGAGAGAATTATACCAGGTTTTGATTAACATTAGAACGCGTCATTAGAAAGTTACCTGAGTGTCTTGACGCCAATTGGCATGGAATGCGCATCCTCGGCAGTGATATGCGTCTTGAGGAACTGACAGAGATCCCCGTGTTCCAGATATTCCATCACTACGCAATACGGTTCCTCGCGGTAGCAGGCACCCAGGACCCGTGCGATATTGCGATCTTCCAGGGCAGCCAGGATCCTCACGTCTCTTTGGAAGTCCACCCTGTGCAGAATCAACCCAGTTCTTCGGTGAGTTATCACTAATGTTATAATTGAATATAACTAATTAATCTTGCGACTTTTCGAAATAAAAGAAGCCTAATTTTATGTTTGTTTTACGTCAATTATTGCGATGCTTATTTTTGTATTATCGTAATAATTATCGCACGTATCGTAGTTCGATCATTCAATTTGAAAGAATTTTAGAGATACGAGAAATATATAAATATATAAAAAATAACGAAGCGTAAAATAAATTTGATATCGTTCTAAAGCAGCAAGAATCATGCCGATGTCCGTCCCAGATAATGACTCTCGTATCACGTTGCGCGCTTTCTGCATTGTGATCCCGACGTTCGTGCAACGTTAACGGCTGCGGTCGCCATCCAGTTCGTTGGGTCGTGTACTTCCGGATAAGGGAAGCGCTTTCCAGCGTATGAGTACATATGCGCGACGCGCCTTTCCACGCAGCATCGTTACTCCGGCCTTACTTACGATCGGCTTGGTAATGGCACTCTCGCGTGATAGCTTAATGCGACCGTTAACGAAACGACGGCGCCATGCGTATCGATTCGCCGTAAACTAAGAATCCCGCTGGTGCGCGCGATTGTCGCGCGGCACCTTCCGAGCCCGGCCGCGGCGTGGGCGAAACACACGGTCCTGTCGTTGGCCGCTATATGCAAAATAGCCCGTTTAACGTTACCGTTCGCTCCTAAGGCAGGTTAATGACGTCACATTAGCCGAAAGTTCGTATTCGCGGCTCAATTTCTCCCCTCTCGTGCCGCTGGCATCGGCGGTTACGCAGGAATGTTCCCGATTCCGCATCGGCGTATGTCGCGTAACGTGACGCCAAATTCGCAATTTAATTTCGATTTCGAGAATATCCTTTAATTTTCTCGACAACGATCTCAATTTAGCAATAACATGATAGTATAAATATAAATTTGCATAAAAAAGATTATACAAGATGCTGCCACTATATTAACGAACCAATTTCGAGAAACGTATAAAAGCACTTAAAATAAAAAATTGCATCGAGATTTAATTATAACTTCTTGAGAGAGCCACAATTCTTAAAGTAGATAAAACTGAAACTTGCACGTAACAAACAGATCTTAACGAACTATAGCAGCTTCGTCTTACAATGACGAAACTTTATCATCGTGATTTCGATAGTTCGGAGAGACGATATATATCCACGCGTCGTTTGTCTCGAATGGATGCAAATCGGGGCAGTCGAGCCCACACGTTATTTTTAATAAAGTATCAGCGCGAGAGTCGCGCACACCGTAATACGCGAGTATGGTATATAAAACATTCCTTATCTACCGTCAACACAGCCTCCTCTGAACGAGCGGCTGCACACGCGTTGCATCCCCCGTTGTACTTTGCTTATTTACTGTCGCGTGGAGCACCTTCGCGATTCGACTCTATGCGCGATGAATGTGCAGGCAATGCGAATTTTGATATAAAAGGATAAAATATAACAGTTTGAACGAAGAAAAAGAAAATCGATTCAAATATATTTGGCGAAGGTACAGTCAAAAGTAAGAAATTTGAATGTTCGGATGCTAAAGACCATCATTCGTACAACAATTTTAATCGTAATCATAAGACCGTATAATTAAGCAAATTAACCAATCACGATCAAAATTGCGGTATTACGTTTTAGAATGTTCGACTGTGATTGGTAATATGCTTACGACTTTACAGTTACGATTAAAATTTGTATACATATGATGACCTTAATTTCGCACACGCTCGGCGAAGTTAGAATACAAAGTTAATTGTACGTAGTAATTTATATTAGGATAACGAATAACGAATTGACGCGAGAAAAGATTCCTTTATCTCTCGCGACGTGATGCGTGCGTAAGAATGTGGATTTGCTGTGAGATTCTCATACGTCGCAGTTGCTCGCGTTTCGATACAGAGGGCAAACTCGCCGATGCAGACACGAAATGCTATAAGTCATCCGGCGCGATAGGAGCTTGTTGCGTGAGCGGATGTTGAGGATCCACTAAGGATCTTTTTCGAAGATCTTTTTCGCTCGAGATAAAATATGACGGGTCTCGGAGACTATATGTATATCTAGTTATATATATATATATATATATAT